ATTCCTGAGAGCCATGAAGTTAGAACATAAACGGAAAAGGGACTTATTCAGGTGGAGACACCTTGGTGTTTGCAGTATGCCCAGAAATCTGGGCAAGACACAGTGGTCACCATCTTAAAAATGACCTCAGACAACTCAGCATCTCTCCCGACACGGTTCTCAGGGGCCTGCAGGTGCCAGGAAGAAAGTGGTTCTGGCAGAAATGGCGGCGGACTCTGGGGGACTCATCCTGCCGGCTTCCTTTCCTGTGAGGCTGCCAGACCCTCCCAAACCCGACGTGGACGTCCAGGGTGAAAGGCTGCAGAGCTCCCTCAACCTCCGGGACAGGAGGTTTCTCCCAGGAGACGCAGGCTGAGTGAGGCAGGTACTGGGCTCCCAGCGTACCGGGCCGTGTGGGAAGGCAGAGGGGCCCACTACTGCTTGTCACTGACAGCCAGGACCCAGGAGGACACAGTGGGTGGCCCAGAGCCTCCCTGGGGAGGTACACAGGACAGCCACTCAGCTGCGACCCTTGCCCGCGGGGCACAGGCCGCTCAGTCTCAGGGCCCCACGGTCTCTGCTGCGGCAACAGCTGTCTGCTGTACCACACTGGGTCACCCTGGCCGTCCCTGTCACACCACGGTCCCTGAGGGCAATCTCAGCACTGCCCACACACCTTGCCTAGGACACTTCTGCCACTCACAGACACCTGGTGCCACACAGCGACAGGAGGAAGGCAGCGAGGGGCATGGTGTGGCAGTGGGTCCTGCCTGACGGGCTGGGGAGTGCTCCGGGGCCCCCTCCCCAGTGAGGAAACGTCTCGTGAGCACGAGCTGTGGTTTACAGAATTGCGTGTGGGTTCAGAATGTTGCTGTCACACCTCAGGGAGCCAGCAAACTTGAAACTTGGTGTCACGGCTGCTCCCTAAGAGCTTTCTTAGGGACCAGCCCTCTGGCAGAGGGGGGACAGGTTTGCAGAGCCCCAAGGGTTAGGGCCGGGGCTCTGTGTGCAGCACCTTGGACTCCCTGAGCCACAGGCCCCTCAGAGAAGCAGCGGAGGCAGGGACCCTGCTGGGCTGCCCAGAGGTGGCCACAGAAAATAAAAAAGTCTTTGTTAAATCAACTTCCTCAGAGAGTCGGTAACTCAACGTTCCATTTGCATATTGTAATCTTAAAAACCAACAAAAATGCTTTACATCCCTTCTCTAGAAAACTGTCCAGTGAAGCCACATGACTGATTGGCTGTGGTGGCCAAAAAAAAAAAAAAAAAGAGGCAGGAATTAGGAGTGACCCCTCCCTCCAAATTCCAGAAGAGGAGAAGCAGAAAGGAGGGGCTGGCTTCAGGGGGGAAGATGGTGGGTCTGCTGGGAGGGTGGGGGATGGGGACAGAAGCCCTGGGGGTGGGCGAGTGCCCTCAGGGTGTGCAGGGAGGCACTGGGTTTGGGGGGGGGGGGGCCAGCTCACCAAAGGCTGGGTGGAGTAAAAACAGCGGTGATGGGGACAGAGGGGCCCTGGGAGGGGACACAGCACAACCGCCTGAGTCACCCCCATGGCCTGTGGACTCTGGGTCCCTCCAGGGGTGGGGCCTCGGGGGTGGTGAGGAAGTGGCAGCTGTCCACCCATCCGTCACAGAAAGCAGGCAGGAGAGGGAGGGGGAAGGGTGCCCTCGAGGGGCTGCCGAGCAGAGAGGCCTCTGTTTTCTGAGAGGAGAGGGACGTGCTGACGTGGACCCTGGGCTGGCCCCAGCTCTGGGTAGGCCATGAGTGACTGCCACGGACAGCAGCTGTCCTCTGTCCTGCTGTGTCTCCGAGTACTGCCCTCTGGCTCCTGTCCAGACTCGACCCTAGCGCTCTCCTAAGTGTCCCCGCTCCGTGCCCCCTGGGCCCCCCCTAAGGCAGCAGAAAAGGCTGGTCGGCCCACTCTGCAGGGGCTGAGTACAGAGGGCTGGCTCAGTGGGAGGAGGCTGCGGGGGCGGGGGCGAAAGGCAGCCTGGCTCCAGGATGGCCAGAGGCTGGAGGCCGCCTGGGTGGGGGAGGCAGGCCTCAGGCATCACACTGCACTCACTGGGAAGTAACCGGCCCTCGGCCGTTCAGGAAAGCCTCCTTACAGCCTCGGGAGACCTGGTTTTGCTCGCTAGTAAATGCATGTCAGAACCCTGTGCAAGGCAATTAATTCCCTCCCAGAAATTAATTTTTAAAATTAAGCAAAGAGAGAAGAGCTGATCTGGAATGAAGACATATTTGTACCCTATTAAAAATGGGGTTAAAGTATGGACTAGTTGTGTTTACATAACAAATGGGAAAACTTGCTGTGGCCAGTCGCCGTGTGTGTGTGTGTGTGTGTGTGTGTGTGTGTGTGTGTAGCTGCTACATGTGGCTGCATGGAAATCTTTATTGCCTGAAAGGCCCGCCCACCAAGCCACCTGGAAGTGCTGGTGAGTCTTCAGAGCTCACCTTGAATTCAGCGAGAGAGGCATTCCCTTGGGAAACCCTGTTCTTCCTCACCAGCCCTTCCCCCATCACTCAGTCCTGCCTCCTGCTTCCTCCCAACAGGACTGTCCCGCCCTTATGCACCTTGGCCTGACTCCACACCCTGAGGGGCCAGCCCACTCCACACACAGCCTCAGTGTCTCTCTCTACCCCGGGTCCAGTGCTTCCCTCCCGAGTGAGCAGCCTGGGCCAGGCCCATCGAGTGGTCAGGGTGCCTGTTCCAGGACAGGGAGCTGGTTTCAGGACAGGGAGCCAGGCTGCCCAGGGCCTCAGCCTCTGGCTCCAGCCCCTGACACACGAAAGCGCACATCCTCGAAACTGGGGCCAGTCGGGGCCTTTGTTTCTGGCAGCCAAACGCAGCCTGAGAGTATGTGATGCCTGAGTCTCTGAGCTGCCCAGGGTGGACCACAAACCCTGGGGGCTGGGGTCAGGGCAGAGCTGCTGGGTCTGACCTCCCCACCCCCACTCCTTCCCCGCACTGGCAGCCCTTCCTCTGGACACAGTGCATTCTCCTCCGTCTGAGATGGAGCCCCTGCCCTCCGCTGCAGCGTGTAGGCTGTCCGGGAGAGCATGACCAGGCGGCTCCCTCCGACTTCATGGGGAGAGACAGAGCACGTCAGACTTCTCTTTCCCACAGGCCTGCGGTGAAGAACCAGAGACCTCCTTGCCCATCAGCAGCGGCTCCGCCCACCACGGCCCATTGTGCAGGATCACGATGCCGCCCGGCCATCTCAACTGCAGCACCAATGACATGCGCTCTTCACAAGATCAAAGGTCAGAGCTGAGTGCGGACAAAGGACTGCCCATCCCTCTGAGGCAGTAGCACACCAGTGGGGAACACCCACGCTCTGCATGTGCCTGCACTTGCCGGGCCCCAAGGGCTGGAGGAATTTGTGCGACAGAAACGCAGACACCGACACAGTGTTCTCATCGGGGACAAACGCCAATCCCAAGAAAAACAGCCAGCAAAATTCCTGGGTTTCCTGAGTCTGCTTAGAGAGCTGGGCAGTACACGGGGGCGGAGGCCCGGTGCCTGCCAGCTACTGCGAGAGTCAGATAATATTTTCTTGGTCTTATTTTAGGGTGAGTAACTTTGTAAACAGCCTGCGTGACCAATCCACAGACAGCTTGTCTAGACCCTTATTTGGAGCAGAAGGTCACCAGGGAGGCAGACATCCCAGATGCACTTCAGGCGTGTGACACAGGGCCACAGCCTGGCCAGCTCTAGCTCCAGAAAGGGGCCTTTGCCGCACGCCCTCCGTGGGGATGGTGCGGCAGGGCAGCCTATTCGGGGGCATGAGGTTGGCACCAGGGCAGCATGTCGTGGCTGGCGAACATGACGAGAAACATCTCCTGCAAGGGGTGGAAGGACCGGCAGAAACTGGGGACAGGGCTCGTCACCCTTCAGGATGGCAAATGGAAAGCGCCGAGATGCAGGAGAGAGTGACTCTAGCAGAAGAGGCAAAGGGACTTCTGAATCACTCTTGCTGAGGAGAGAGAGCACCCGGGCCCTTCCAGTAGTTAGAACTGGAGCTTCGGACCCTGAGGTCAGGCCATGACCCAAACGGAACACTCGCCCTGGGTAAGGCCCCTGGGATATGCACACTCACACCCGGTCATATCCGGTCACACCCAGCCCCGCCATGCACACTGCATCCCAGCAAGGCCTACCACGCTGTGACTGGCCCTCAGTTCCCCTATGACAGAGGGCAGGTGACATCGATGCCTGACCTTCAGGGCGATCCTGAGGAGCAAACGCCTGGACCAAGACAAACACGTGAAGCCCAGGAGCAGGGTCTGGCCCTCCGTGCACGTCAGATGTCCCCATCGTCACGGCACGCACAGCACACTCATCCCACCGCCCTCACACTCAGATGAACGTCACCAGGTCTCCCTCGGAGGCCAGACCACTGTGGTCCAGGCCAACCAGGAGGGACAGTGCTGCCAGCCTGGCCCTGGCAAGTTGGTTCCCTGCAATGTGACCTCAGTTGCTGGAACACTCCGTGCCTCAGTGCCCTCCAGTCAGGTGCCCTGCACAGTCCCACTGCACAGCCCCACTGCAGCGCAGAAGTGGTCACCTTCCGTGTCAAGCGAAAATTCTCCTGCCTGGAGCAGACTGTACCCAAAGTCACAGTCACACTGTGGACACTTCTACTGTACTGAAGGTCAGGTGCCTGGGAGAGCCGGTGTTTAACGCCTCACTTACCCAGTTACTGGGTAATGAAGACAATGTGGTGGTGAAATTGTTTCAGAAAACCAAAGCTCATTGTTTAAGCAGCAAAGTGTTATTATTTTTTAGCCATTTTTATGAGACTCCTCCTAAAACATATAGGCCCAGCCCTGACTGAATGAATGAAATTTTGGCCAATAAATTAAAAAAGCCTTGCAAGGCTGCAAATATAATTGCAAGAGGAAAAGAACGAAGAGCAAGGACCCCACAATCCCCCTCCCTTCTTCCCACAGCAATGAGCTGGCACGCCCGTCCTGTGCTTGCTGGAGCAAGCAGCCTGGCACCCAAGCCCGGTCCGCTCACCTGCTTTGCCGTGACCTGGACCGGAGGCAGGGAGCCGGAGGCGACTGCTGGAGGGCTCTCTGCATTGCACAGCTCCGGGAAAGGGTTGGGGATGGCCGGCAGGGACGAGGTTCTGAACTGCTGGTCTTCCTCCTGCAGGCGTCTGGGAGGAAAGAAAACCACTGGTTAAAGCCACCGCCCGACATGACCCAGCAGCCACACTCCTGGGGACACACCCAAGAGAAAGAGGCAGGTGAATGGATCCATGTGTAGAGATCACATCAGGGCTGCTCACAACTGCGAAAGGTGAAAGCAACCTGTGCATCCCCCTATGCACAGGCTGCGGGCAAAATGTGGCCCCCTCCACACAAAGGGATGCGCTTTTGCCTTGAAAAGGTGCAATGTTCTGCCACGTACTCCCCGGGACCGACCTCGAGGGCACAGGCCACCACAGAGGGACGGACCCTGTGAGAGATGGCTCACGGCCCTCAGACTCAGAGGCGGGCAGGGGCGCCGTGGGGCGTGGGGCTGTGCTCCGTGGGGTCAGAGTTCTGCAGAGGGCTGCATGGTGCTTCAACATTTGCAGCCCTGGGACTGCCCCACACACAGGGTTGAGACGGTGAGCATTACTCAATGTGCGTCTTACTGCAGTTAAACATGCAAGCGGAAGCCACCATCTCGACTCCAAGGGGGCGGGGCAGCTCCCCTGACTTGGTGGGAAGTGCTGCACACTCACATCACAGACGTGTCTCACACCTCATCCCGCCCCCTCTGCAGCTCTGGCCTAGGAACCCCCGACGTGCGGAGGGGTTTTGTGAACAAGAGCATGTTTTCTCATGGCCTTGAACAGGGCCCACCTCTGACCAAATAAAAACCTCAGGAGAGGCGCCTGAGTCCTCATCTGAATTGTCACATGAACGCCTCTGTACACAAAGAGGTAGTCAACACAGAATGATCGACATGCAAATGAGTGTTTCACGGAGTTGTCTGCCCTGAGGCCCAGAAGCCTGTGCTCATGTAGCCCCAGGCAGCCTGGCTGCACCCACTCACAGTGATGACAGAGCCACTTCCAAACTGACATACCACCTCCCTCTCTCTGGCATTTCTCCAGAGCTCCCTGCTCCCAGGAACACACACCTCACCTGCCATACAACTGAGCAAAATACACACCAAGGACAGATCAGATGCAATCAGGAAAACAACAGAAAGCACAAGTTCAAAGCTAAAGCAAAACCAGTGCAAGGTGCCCCATGTCTCCTCTCTCCAGGGGTCTGCTGGCAGCTTCCTGGCTCTGCTGCTCCACTGGCAGGGGACCCCCTGCCCACCCGAGGGTGTCGCCACCCAGCATGCTGATGCCTGGTACCGTCTGGCCCTTTCTCTGTTCAGAGTTCCTGCTCCTTATCTGCACCCACCCACCTGCCCCTCACGCAGGCTGCCCCTTCACAGCATTTGGTCACAAGTTTTAGAGCCTGACTGCACTCACGGCCTGTCCGGTCTCTCGGGAGGCTTGCCGGCGCAGCAGTGGGCACTGCGACTGTTGCCCAGGTCCCCCTGACTCGGAGGCCTGTCAGCCATTCCACCTGGACCCGGCCAGAGGCCCCGATCACCCACGAGTGCCCACAGCTCCCAAGACTGACTCCATGGTGGGAGGATGATCCTATCCCCAGCAACAGGCTGGAGAGGTCACCGTCACCGTGAACGGGGCCTCTCCCCGCAGAACAGCCCCAGCCTGGGCAGAGCGACAGCAGAGGTGGGCACGCCCCTCTCCAGGTGTTTCCTGCCTAGACCTTGGACTGGGCACCCAAGGAACGTGAGCTGGACTCATGGGACAAGGCCCTGACATTTGAACGTCCCCACAGCCCCCCGACGCTCCTCTCTAGCAGGCCCTTCTGAGCATTCTGGAAGTCCTGTGTGTTTTCAGGCTGTAAAATCACCCCCTACGATGGTATGACAATGGGCTCATGCTGCCATTCATCTGCACAAACCCAACAAATGACAGGCACCAGGTGTAAACCGTCACATGTTCTAGGGACTTCTGGTGATGGCATCGTGTTGATGTAGGGTCACCAATTACAGCAAATACTAACAACGTCCCTGGTACAGATGGTGATAATGGGGGAGGGGGTGTAGGGCCCTGCTGGATGGGTGAGGACTTCCTGTGAGGACGGAGATGTCCTGCAACTGGGGACAGGTCACTGAACAGCGCTGGGACTGTCCTGAATGCTGAATTGTCACTTTAAAGCAGTTATTTTTATGTTATGTGAGTTTTATCTCAATAAGCTATGTTTCCAAGTTGACTTTGCAGCAGTTCGCAAATATGACTGAAAGTAAAGCTAAGGGACATCACACAGGCTGGCAACACAGCGGTTCAGATGGGCAGAGAGAGGACAGACCCTCTGCTGTCCCAGCGGGAAGCCACACTGGAGACAGGGCTCAGGAACAGGGGCCGAGGTTCATCTGGGCCCTATGGGGAAGGCCCTCCACCTTCTCCAGAATCTGTGGAGAGTGACAACATCTGGTGACAGCAGGTGGCACCCAGCTAGAGGCTTAAAGTGTTTCAGGCCCCTGAGGGCCCCCCACGTGCTGGCTGTGGGCCACCACTCCCCAGGCCAAGGCTGCCTCGCCTGGGCACTCAGGGTCCCCACACCACTCGGCTTGTAGGGCTGTGGACACCATGACATAGGCTAAGAAATGGGGACTCAAGAGACTTACACACAGCAAGCGTCCCACGGGCGCCGGAAGCGCAGGGCACTCACAGGCAGCATGGGGGGGGGTAGGAAGTGCCCAGCGCTGTGCCGGAAGTGCCAGGCGCCCGGAGCCGGGGCACATACAGGAAGCTCTGGGCACTGAAAGAAAGTGTTCCGCCGACACCCTCACAAAATCCTCTGGGATCCTATACCTGTTACCCCCAATTTATCAGCGTGCAAAGCAGCACTGCCCACTAGGACTCTGCGTGCACCCTGCGTCCCTCGGACCCCCGCCCCTTGCATGGTTGAGAGCGCCATCTGTGATGGCTTCCCTTTGCCCACCCCGGCAACCCCCGTGCCACTCTCTGTGTGCGTTTGACTGTTTTGGATTCTGCACATGAGTGGGCCCGTGTAGGACTGTCCTCTGCAACAGGCTCATTTGTTAGTGTACTGTCCATGTGGTCGTCTGTGGGTGAATGGACAAAGGAAATCTGGTGAGCACATGTATGCATGCGTGGCATATTATCCACCTGTAAGAGGAAGGGATCCTGCTATTTGCAACACCAGGGACATCTCTTCCGCTCACAAAATCTTTCCCCAATGCCTGGATGCCTACTTGCCCTTTAACAACCAGTTCAGAGACCTGACACCTGCAAGGGGCCCTCCAACACTTCCTGGGTCCCTCCCTCCAGCCCAGTATTTCCAGAGGTGCCCTCGCTCACTGTCCTGGGGAATGTCATCAAATGTCTGCAGTCACACCTTTCTGACAAGGGCCAGGGAAGGCCACTGTCCGGGTCCTGGATCCTGATCCGGGCAGTGTGGTTTTAGAGCCCTCTGCTAACTATGCAGGGATTTCAATCTTTCCAGAGCATTCTCCTCTGATGGCTCCCTTCACCTCCTTCCACGTGGCTCAGAGCGGGGGCTCCATACGTCAGCTTACCTGAACTGAGCAGGTACCTGTCCCAACCCAGCGCTGCCATGCCGCCCAGGGCAGAGGTATGTACCTGCCTGCGGATGTCAGGAGGCTAGAGCATTACCCCCTCGCATGTCACGAGCGGAGAGCAGCACGCCACCTCTGCAGCCGCGCTGGTCCCCCTCCCCGCCCCCCAAGGCCCGGGGTCCTACCTGGCGGCCAGGATGTGCACTGGCTGGGAACGCTGCACCTTCTGCTGTGGCGACGCCTGCGGCGGGGCAGGCCTGGCCCCCGAGGGCGGCGGCGGCTGGTCACGGGTGTGCTGGCCATTCTGGCGCAGGGGCGCTGTCTCCGACTGCATGCTACAAGCTGCGTATAGGCTCTCCAGGGACGTACTCATGTCGCTTACCAGCGCTTCCAGGTCCACGTCATCCTCTGGGCAGTAAAAGGTGAAGCGGGAAAGAAACTTGAGCAACAGTGAGGGGTCACAGCCGAGTGTGCACCTCAGCAACCAGGTTCCCAAACTCACTTTTAAAAACACTGTTGGAGGGCAAAGGAGCCTATCTGAGAAGTATGAATTTGGGTAAGGACTAATGCCTATTATGCTTAGTAATATTTATTGATATTCCAGAGGTGAATTGGTCATTAGAGCCCACCTGCACTCTCACCTCCCTGTGCGGGAGGTGCCTTTCAGAGCACTTTCTCAGTGCAGGTATATGTCGGGGTGGGGGCCCGCACTCAGCCATGACCCTGCCCTCCTGGCCTCAGCTGGCTGGGTCACAGGTGGACATGGAGCCCTCATTAGGCCCCTCAGGATCCCCCCTTCCCTGAAAATCTGGAAGAAAAGCAGAAACAGAGCAGCACCCATCATAACACCAGCCCTGGCCCACTAGACCCGCCAGGAGGGCTGCCCAGTGGCCGAAGCTGTGGCGGAGAGGCTGGCTGTGTGGCTGTGGACCACTGGGCGCCCAGCCTCTGCTGTCGCCTGGCCTGAGAGCCAGGGGAAGCCTGTCTTCATGGGAGAGGGGCCTGAGCAGACACACAGAGAGAAGCAGAGATGGCTGCGAGAGAGAACACTAGTGAGGACAGAAAATGCCAGGGATGTGCCCTTGGGGACATGGATGAATAATTTTATGCAACAACTTCGCTAGAACACAGTTCCCTGAGATATGGTCAAGCATGGCTCTAGATAATGCTGATAAGGTATTATCTCCATGTGACTGACTTTTAAATTTGGGGACTGAGTGCAGCAGGTGGCCATCTGCAGTGTCTGTGGGCCCCATCTCATCAGGTGAGGAGGCCTTAAGAGAAAAGACTGAGGTCCCCTTGGCAAGAGAGAGAGTCCTGTCTCCAAACTCCTCCCTGCAGCTGTTCCCTGGGTCTCCAGCCTGTCCGCCCACCCTGCAGATTTTGAACGTGCAATTCCAGAGCCATGCGAGCCAATTCCTTAACTACCCGCCTCTGTACGTGTGTGTATGGACCTGTGTGTACACGCACATCCTGCTGGTTCCATCTCTCTGGAGAACCTGGCTAATCCCTGGTGAGGGATGGGAGCCAGGACTCTCAGAGATGCAGGGAGGGCCAGGGAAGGGACAGAGCTGGAAGCTGGGACATGGGCTGGGCTCCGGGCAGCTGTGCCTGGCTCGGCTCCCATCCTGTCTAAGGCCTGGCTGCTTCCTGCTGGGAGCACTGGAAAACATTCCTACATCCGTATAGTCAGTGTGCTGCGTGCAGCGAGTGTGAGTTGGTTTCTCTCGTCTGTAACCCAATACGTTACAATAACACTGACTCCTTTTTTCCGCGTTTTCCAGATCGGTCACTTTTTAACAACTTGGTAAATAACAGCTGAGGGTGACTCCGAGGCAGCACATTGCAGGTCACGTATCCAGTCTTGTTCGTTCCCCTAACAGCCCCATGTGACACCCGCTTTGCAAACAAGGGGCTCAGGGCTCACAGCGGCAAGACCCTCGGCCTGCCACAGGCCACGGCTCCTAACGGGCAGGAGGGAGAGCTGAGAGAGGTCACTTACTGGGAATGGCTGACCCTGGCCCTGGCCCAGGGGCCCTGGTTTTGTTTTTTCTGGCTGGGGGTGAGCCACTGCACCCGCCGGGGGGAGGGTGTGAGCAGTGGGTTAGTTATTATCTGCTCTGGAGCAGAGCCTGGCACATGGCAAACACTTGGGAAATGTTACTGATTAGCTCCATTCCACCTATTCCTGCAGAACAATATAAAGGGTGGCCATTAACCTGGCCTGCCAGCGGAGGACCGGGCCTAGAGGAATTCAGCAACTTGCCAAGATCTCACGAGCACTAAGTAGTGAACCTTGAATTGGAAAACAAGTTTGGCAGCTACTCTTTGAGCTCACCAGGTGTGCACTCAATGAATGAGCTCACAGAACTTTCCGGTACACTCTGGCTTCCCTGCCTCTCCCGCTCCCAACACAAACGTCTACCAAGGCGCAAGGGCACAGAAAGACAGAGCACAGTGGAAAGGGATGAACAGCCAGCCGTCGGAAGGAGGCATCCAGGAGAGGCGGGCTATCGACAGATCACACAGGGTCTGCTGGACAACGGACGGAGGGATGGGAGGAAGACAGTGGGAGGCTGCGGACACGGCTGCTCAGAGACATGGAGGCCTGGCCAGTACGGTGGCTGCTGATGCCAAGGACATGAGTGGCTGAGGAAGAGAGGACAGAGCTGGAGGGCCAGGCCGGAAGGGAAGCAGGGAGGCCCCACCTGGGACCAGGGGCTGCATTTCCAGGGGCTGTGAGGGAGGATGCAGACTTGGCTGCAGCTCAGGTTATAAGCAGTCAAATATTAATCCTGAGGCCAGATAGGAAGAGGACAAAAGTGCTGAATTAATCATTAATAATGACCATGGCATTAAGATTTAATGTGTCACACGGCAGGACACCAAAGTCAGCAGACAGAGTCCTCGGTGTGGGGGCGGGGGAGGGAGAGGGGCGGACAGAAAGTCAGGGCCCTGGAGGGGCAGGGGCCCGAGCCACAGCCCCCTGGTCCCCGTGGGCTGCATGGCTGAGAGGGGCCCTCGTCTGTAAACAGAGGAAGCAGCACTGACAATAATAAAAATCACAGACAAGTCCTGCCCTCAGACAGCCAGCTGCCAAATCAGAGCCCAGAGTCCCAGTGCATTCGCTGAGACCTCGGGGTGTTCGCCGATGAAGAGGGCTGTGCACTATGCAGCTGCTCGCAGATCTGGGGGGCTTCAGAAACATTCGAGATGATCCTATCCATCGTCAACATCAGGCATGTCCTGTACTGATACTTAGCCCACACGTAATAGTAGCTCATTGTAAGCTGTGTGATGCAATTCAGTGCCCAGAAGCCCTCACTCACCCTGTTGACAACTCCAGGTTTCTATCTTAATGGGCCACTTCACAGTCAATATGGGGTGAACATGAAGTACACTGACATTATGGAATGACCTTCAGGGTGCACCCCGGTGGCCCGGAGGCCAAGGCCAGGCCAGCTGACCCCAGCCGTGTTCTGGGCTTGCTTGGCCACAGGTGGACATTCAGCAGACTGCAAAGGCCGGTCTCCATCGTGGTCACCCTGCCTCCAGGACTGGGAAGGAGGGCAGTACTAGATGACAGATTTCTTCTAAGAAGAAAAGGTCTTGCTTCCCTCAGGTGGACTTCCACTTGAGTGATTTTCTCCTTGGCGTTCCAGAGAGCCCCGGGCTGTGCTCGCCACGCAGGGCAGCCCTGTTTTTTGTCCTTTCCCTTCCGCTCCTTTTCTCAGGCACCTGGGGCCCTCCCAGGCCACCCCTCTCTGCCCCTTGCTTTCCAGAACACAGAGTAGTTTTGACATTATTCAAAGTATATGTTAAAGGTGAACTGGCCGCCAAAGTATAAACGCAATGCCATTCTTACAAAACGCCTTGCCTCTCCTTGGAGGTGGGTTCCTGATAAAACTACTTCCTACGTTCATACATTTAATTACGGCTCCGTGGAACTCGGCCAGGTCAACCTGACACTGTGCACTTAGTAGGTTGTAATTTTCATAAGTCCAACCACTGTATCGACGTGTTTCAAACTGGCCTTTTTTCCGCAGACCTTGGAGCAAAAATAAAGCTTTATGTAAAAAATCTAAAACCTACTACTGTAGAACAAACTTTAAATTTTTTTGTGGGGCCAATTACCATTTTATCTATTTAGATAGTAAAAGCTCTTACAGTTACATGATTTTATTTAAACTTTGTTAAATTCTAATGAGGACTCAGAATGGAATCTTCCAAACTGGGATTTGAAAGACTTGATTCCAAAGACAACACAACGCTTCTCCCCATGCTTTGAAATGCTCCTCCTCTAAGACGTCACTGAGGGCCCTTCACTTCCTGCAGACAGTCCACGCTGGTCAGCTTGTGCGCCTCCCACTGCGGGTGGCCCCTGAGTGAAGCCTGTGTGGATCAATAATCAGCTACTCGTCAAAGCCTTTCTGCATGGCCACGTTTGATTGGCAGAATCGAATAATCGGGGCATGAACAAAAGAGATGGTTCTGGAAAGGAAAGCAAGCATCATGTGTCTATTCACCGCTAACTCAATGCCAAAATACTTTCCGTGAGAACGCACCTCCCTCCGGCAGGAATGCTGGAAGGGGAAGGAAAACGGTTTCATAACTCACATCTCACTCCACACTCGTTTATAAGGACGCAGTCACTGCAACAAATATAGGTCAAACAACGTGGTGGTAAGTCAAGATATTAATAGCTACTTTCCTTCCTAGAATAACGCCATCTAAAACGGGCATCGACTTTTGTCCCAAATATCTGAGCAGCTCATCTGATCTCAAACTCACACGCACTCCACGCCTCACCGTCATTACCAAGTTGAGGCCAGGTTAGCTCTCCAAGGGACGGAAGTGCAGGGGAAGAACTACACATCGGCCCTGGGCTACTGAGGGAGGAGCTCTTCCTTTTACCAGGCTAGGAAGGGCCACTGGAGCAGCCCACCGCAGGCACAGAGGGTCAGTTACAGATGTCCCGGAACTCAGGGGCTCCACCTTGCCTCCTCGACCACACCTGCTGAGTTTGCAGACTGTCTCAGGTCTGTGTTAGGGCACAGTAAGGAAGACACTGGGCTGGTCCACTTTGCCAAAGTGTCTGGGTGCCTGGGAGAACTGGTAGGTGCACTGGGTGTTCAGAACACATCTGCACTGACCTCCCGACAAACCTGTGTCCTCCCATCTTCCTCCCAACGCATCCCAGGGGCAGTCCAGTCCGAGCTGGGAGGCAGGCGCAGCGGACTTGCTGACAAAGCTAAACACTCCAGGGTGATAAGCGACTAAGAGCAGATGTGTCCCTGGTCAATCCCTGAAAGTAGATGGCACTTGGAAAGCTATGACAGAGCATGGAGAGGCATCTTCTGGCTTCCATGATCCTGGGAGTTTCTTAAGGGATGAGAGTACCAGGAGCATCTTTGGGATAACATTCAGTCTTTTGTTGCTCCTGAAACAACTCCAGACATTTTATAAAAGTGAAAGGAACTTCTTTTGTTATTCAGAACCAGCTTCTTCCTACCACACCTGAGTTTATGCTAATGAGGACCCCAGAAAACCACAGGATGGGGGCCGGTTGCCAGGGGAACCAACCAAGTGATTAAGAGGAACTTTCAGCCACACCCTCCTGAACTCCCGGGGGAGAGGGACTGGGGACTGAATCCATCACCAGTGGCCAGTGACTTAATCATGCCTGCTTTGTAATGAAGTCTCTCCAAAACCCCTAAAGAATGGAGTTCACAGAGCTTCTGGGTAGGGGAGCAGGGTCAGATGCTGAGAGGGTGCGACCCCCAGGGAACCCGGAAGCTCCACATTTTTTCCCCATACCTCACCCTTTCCCTGTACCGCACCCTGTGTGTCTCTTCCATCCGGCTGTTCTTGACTTACACCCTCTCATAAGAAACTGCTAATGGGGGGAGCAAATGTCTCCTAATTGTAAGGCTGATGTGATCTAGCCGACAATCAAACCAGGCCCAGGTCTTTCCAGAACTGAACTGAACTGGGGACACCCGGCGGGTGTGGGAGAATGGCTCAGTGTGGGCACCCCACCCCCACCGCACGTCTGGCACATAGAGAAGTCGGTGCGTGCACAGAAGGGGACTCTTCTGTACAGTATTGTACCTGGAAATTCCTGAACACATGTGCACATGCCAAAGTCCTTACACACTTCTCTCTGGGCACGAACTAAACGTCCAGCCTGCAGAAGTATTTTAAACCCAGACCATGTTCGGCTGGCCAGCTATTTTTGTTGACCTCTAAGCAAGTAAAACCTTGTGCAAATATAACTCAACAGTCCACTGAGATGCCTTTTTGGCACACCAATTAATCTTCTATTCTCACGTACCCCAACCGCATACACTTAATTTTTCATATGTAGAGTTGTTTGGACATAAGGAAGCAACAAAAATGTGAGTTTGTTAATATTCAGAAATTGTTTGCCTTTAATAATCAGACCAAAAAATCAAGACTGAATCTGTTCCTTCTTTCTTTAAGCCATTTTTAAAAAGTAAAAGCAGGTATAGACCCACTCGCCCCCCCACCCCCTGCCAAATTAAAAGCCAAGAAAGACCCAAAGAGGCATCTGCACACTCCGGTTCTTAGCAGCCTCATTCACGTGTCACAACGGCCAAGGGGCGAAAGCAGCCCCACCGTCTATCAAGGAAAGAAGCAAAACGGAGGCCATCTGGACAATGGGACATTATTCATTCTTAAACAGCAAGGAATTCAGACACAGGCTACAGCACGGATGGGCCTTGAGGACATCACGCTGAGTGACATAAACCAGCCACAAGAGGACAGATCCTGTAAGATTCCACGGACGTGAGGTACTCGGTATAGCCAAACTCACAGACACGGAAAGGAGAACAAAGGTTCCCTGGACGGGAGGCGGGGGCAACGGGAGGACTTGTTTTACGGAGACAGAGTTTCAGCTCTGTACAGCAACAGGCGTTTTGCGGCCGGAGGGTGGAGACAACAACATGAATTTACTGTAAGTCACTGAACGGCGCCCTGACAGACAGTTCACAAAAGAGTGATAGTAAAAAACATTTTTAAAGTGGGAATGTTTAATATTCTCAAATATGGCCACTTAAGAAATTGGTCTGGCTACTCTGCCTGGGCATGTGTCAGGGCCCCCACATGACGACGCCAGCCTGAACAGAAGCAATGCTACCCGCTGGGGCCTCACAGGCGCAGCCCCCTGGCTGTCCCTCTTGGGGAGCCCGCTGCAGGGAAAGGGGCCCAGTCACACCCCTGCCCTCGGCTGAAAGCTCCATCCTCCCCTTTCACTGTCTCCCCTCACCCCCCTCCCTGGCCTCCTCCGGCACCAGAGCCCAGGAAATGGTGGGACACGGCTCCTGTCGACTCACCCAGAGGTGGGCTCTGGGGAGTGGATGCAAGTGTGACAGAAATGTGGCCCAGGGTGACCAGAGGGGACAGGGATTTAGTTGGGGAAAGAGTCAAGAGTCACTTCAAGAGGAGAAATAGTCCGTCTTGAGGGTGTCAGGACCCTGTCAGGCGGCAAAGCAAGACTCGGGAGTGCCCCGTGCCTGGTGGGTGTGGGGCAGGTGGCTGAGGGCTGTGGGCCCCCCTGGGTTGGCCCCTCCAGGACGCCTGGATGCACAGTCTGGGAGGGCCCAGGCCTCCTGAGTTTCACAAAACGTGCATTCCTGTTCTAACAGTCGTTGATTTTCAGGACAAATGCGCAGTCTTCCCCAGTCCTCTGGACCACAGCAGGCAGGTGTTCAAACCTTATGACGTGCATGCATCTCCTGCCGGCGCGGGCGAGGCTGGAGCACAGGAGTTAGGTTCTGGACGGGCAGTGCCTCGGGCATCACGGCAGGCGTGTGCCCCGTCAGACAGCCATGCCCCCAGCGCTCGGCCTTCCCCAGAGCAGCCGGCAGCCCGGGCGGGAAGGGGCCAGGCTCCTGGCCGCAGTGGCCCTCAGGGAGGACGGCGGGGCTGCGTGTCTCCAGACTAGGTGACAGCTCAGAAGACCGCAGCTCTCGGAGGGAAGGGGCTGCCACAAAGTCCAGGGCGGGTCTCAGAGTCAGATGCAGACATCCTGGCAGCCACACACGTCTCCCTCCACCACAGGGCAAACAGCGCAGATGTGAGATAATGATTAATCGCTCTGGACTTTGATTCCATGAGATGTGCTGCTTCAGCCTACGGGGTAGAGAGCTGTGGATCCTACCTGACACAAATATCCGGATGAACCAGGAAGCTACCACATCTCGCTCAGGGAGCCTCATCCCTGAAGTCCAGGATGGGCCCCTGATGGGCGGGGAGCATCGCCCAGGAAGGAGCACCCGTGTCCCCTCTTTCTGGAGTTTCATCCGGCCACAGGAGTGCAGGAGACCCCCGGACATCACCAGAGCTTCGTTCAGGACCCCAAGGCTTGAATTCTGCACAGCGACTACGCCGCACAGGACCTGAGCTACGCATGACAGACAACGACACAGATGCCATGACGGGGTCTGTCTGTCCCGTCTGTCTGTTCTGTAGGAAGACAATCACAGGGGGAGGAAAGAGCACAGACACGCTCACAAGATGTCCCTCCAAGGGGGCGAAAGATGAAGTACACCTTTCTCACGCAGTCCTTCACGATTTCATGTTTTTCCTCAACCTTCCGATCTCCACTCCTGAATCTCCTCTTACATCCTACACTAGGCAGAATTCTGGGCACAAGAAACTGTGCAAACAGCTTGTCATTCTGGAAGGTTCTCACTTTCCATCAACCTGGCATGGATTAGTCCAAGAGCACTGGGACCAAACAGGGAAAATCCAGGTCACAGTCCACAAGTGTCATTGGCTTGCACTGTACTCTCAAAAAGCAATTTTTTAGAAGGAAGTTAGACACCCGGACATTTTCATGATCCCCTTCAATGTTAAATGCCCTATGGCTTTAACTCAAAAACATGAGGTCCATGCAGGAAGTCCACGTTTTCCTTCTCTTAGCACATATTTACTGAGCGCCAAGGACGTGTGTGGCATTGCTCCAGGCACTGGAAGTGCAGATGTCCCCAGAACAGACAACGTCCTGCCGCCTCCACGTCCCGGGAGGCAGCTTTGGACAGGGTGGCAGTGCTGGACATGAAGTCACAAGGAAGGGTCTGAAGCACCTCTTCCACGTCTGGAAAAATAATTCCCTGCCCCGGGTCAGTGACAGCTCACGGGGGACCAAGGGGGTGGAGGCACGTCCTGTGAGACAGCCAGGGGCTCCTCCTGGAAAGGGGCTACCTCGGTCGGGGGGAGGAAACCCCAAGGCTGAGAGTCTTGAGAGAGGCCCACAGACAAAGAGGACCTAGGCGAAGCGAGTTCGGGGGGACCCCACCCAGAGCATGCGCCCGGGGGGAGGCCCCAGGGGCCAGGCTCACTCCTGCAGGCGGAGGAATTTTCAAACCAGGTCTCTGTTTACAGGCAAGGCAGGCGAGGGGGAACACTCGGCCCTCAGAAGGGCCCGAGGTGCAAGGCTTCAGCACGGGGGAGTCAGTCCAGGAGAACGTTCCAGGCGATTCCAAGAAATGGCACCACTCCCAGAACTGAAATGCCCAGGAGAGAGGGGCTGGCTTTCCAGGATGTGGATGAAAACAGGGTTTCACAGGAAGGAGGGGACGTTCAGGATAGGGCCAGCGTGGCCAGGGATCTCTCTGTGCCTGTGCCTCTGGAGCCCATCTGATGGGCGGGGTCCCCAGGGCCGACGGGGGGCTTCTTTGTGAGACCAAGTTCCTGGGACTCACCTGGACCTATCTCGAACACACATTTTTGCGGTCCAGTCGGGAAATGAACAAAACTCATAACTGAGGGCTTGTTTTTCTCCTAATTCTTTTTCCATCAAGAGAGATGATAGCACATGTATGTGTAAATGGTACCTTCTGAATGGTGGTCCAGGGAAGGGGTGCTCTCAGGACCCTCTCTCCAAATCTGGCTCTGATGGGCTTGATTTGTGGCCGAGCAAACAGGGAGGGAGGGGTTCCACGGGCTGCAGGCGGGAGCTGGGGGTGGGGTGGTGTGTGTCTGGTTTTTGTTCTCTGTAGATATAACACTGCATTTATTAATGGGGATGAACAACAGCGGCCATTTCTTTTTCTTTTTTTTTAATCCTCACCCGAGGACATTTTTTTCATTGCTTTTAGAGAGGGAGGGAGGAAGGAAGGGAGAGGGAGGGAGAGAGAGAGAGACAGAACCATTGAACTGTTGCCTCGTCGTACATGCTTCAACCAGGGACTCAATCCACAACCCAGGCATGTGCCCTGACTGGGAATCAAACTCGTGACCTTTTGGTCCACGGGACGATGCTGCGAGCCACTGAGTCACACGACTGGGGCAGCAGCCTCCATTTCTTGAGCATCAGCAGTAGCAGGCCTGGGCCAGGCACACCTCAGAGCTCCCACGGTCTCTAACCTTCTTAGCAAACCAACCAAATGCGCATTTCATAGGTTTCCAATGAAGAAACCGAGGCATGGAATTACTCAGCCAACCAGAGAGAATGCAAGCCCTGGAGTGGAGAGGCAGGCCCATTCCACAGGTGGGAGGGCTGCTTCTTTCTCACATTTCTTCAGAGTTACTTTTCCTGATTTTTTCCTCACTAAACCAGAGTGGCCAGAAGACTGGAACTGCGCCTTTCCTCATGATCTAACCTCACACCTGGTGCACAGTAGGTGCTCAGTTAATGCTAGTGAACAACGTGGAAAATGGAGTCACCAGCCTGCATAAATCAAGTGGTAGAATTTCCCCAAAAGTCAGACAGCCAGGCTGCTGAGTCGCCGATCCTGCAGCTCCTTGGAAAAAGCCCCGCCAGGCAGGTTGCATGCGGGCCACGGGGTGAATCAACGCCAGACTGTCTGCTTCCAACAAGGGGTGGCTGGGGTCCAGAAGGGGTTGTCCCGGGCACAGCGGCTCCGCGCAGGAAAAGCTGCCTCGCGGGCCAGACCTGTGCCCAGGAGCCCGCCCGCCCGCCCGCCTGGCCACGCAGGCCTTCCGGCCGTGCTGAGGTCCAAGGGTCTGGAGAAGGACCCCGCTCTGTCTCCCTCCCAGAAGTACAGCCAGCAGCACCTTCAGGGGGCTTCTTCACTGTGATTGCCCCCCCCCCCCCCCCCCCCCGCTCCCTGTGCCCTCACAGGTCCTGGAGCCCAGGCTTCCAGGACGCAGCCGGGGCCCCACAGAGCAGACATCATTGCATGCAGCTCTGCCCTCTCCTTCTGTCCCATGGGGCGTCCTGGCAAGGGACAGCACTGTCTGTCCTTGGGGACAGCTGCTTCACACCAAGACCATCCTGTCCTCAAACCGAGGCCTTGGACGCTGAGCCCTCCTAAGGACAGGAGGACTTGGCCTTTGGTGGGACGCCGGTTCCACCCCGGAAGCGTTTCTTTTCCATGCGGGGAGTTTGGGAACAAAGGTAGGTGTGCAACAAGTAATAGACGCACAGCTCACGTCCCCGAGAAGCACAGACATGCTTGGTCCTCAGCACTACTTCCTCTGACAAGCACTCTCTTCTGCTGTGTCCAGCACACTGGAGCTCATCCAAGTGGGCAATGCACGCAGAGGAGGTGTGGGGGTGGGGGAGGGACCACAGCCTTCATGGGCATCTCTGCCCGCCCTGCACCACGCCCAGGAGCTAAGTGCTATGTGCCAGTTCACAGAGTAGAGAATCAGGGCTCAGAGAGGTTACGACACACACCTGGCCACATGCTCTTAGCGGAGCTTTCGAGTCCTACCCTGGTGTGGCCAGCAAGGCCAGCACCCTTTCAGTTTCCCCCCGAAATTAGAAACATAAACACCACCTCAAGGAACGTGGCACTAAATTGGAAAGACAGACAGGCCCCTGGCACCAGCGTAGAGTGACAAGTTCTGGGGAGGAGGAGAGGCAGCAGGAGGGCACCCGGGAGGAAGCAGCTTATCCAACGTGCCGGAGGAGTGAGAGCCACTGGGCGGGAAACCAGGAGGACGTGCGCCTAGGGTGTGCTGCCACTGGGGCGCTCAGAGACCTAGGTAGGAAGGACAGACTTCCAGAGCACATTCCAGAAGAGCAAGCAGTCTGTGCACTGCTGCCTTAGGTGACGGGCAATTGACATGAGCCAAATGTAGAGCGAGGCCTCACCAACGGAGCTGGAGCATGCAAAGTGCCTGAGAAATAGAGCAGTGTCCCCAGGCCAGGTTTTAACAAAAAGAACTCTGGTGGCCAACGAGAATGGCTGGAAGGTGCCCTTGGAGGGAACGTGCAGGGCCATCAGTGTCCCTGAGAAGGGACCCCACTTGCCCCAAAGTCAGGAGATACAGCCTTGCTCCGACACAGAAATCCAGTGGCCTGTGTGTTGGTGGCCAGGGGTCAGTATGCCACGTCCCCAAGGAGGAAGTATATGTGATGCAAGGTGCTTTCAGCTGCTGATGAACCAGCTGGCGTCGAGCCCACTGGGGTGGTTTTTTTTATCCTCACCTAGCACATGTCTATGGATTTTAGAGAGGGGGGAAGGGAGGGAGCGAGAGAGGTGTCCATGTGAGAGAGAAACACGGAACCACTGCCTGTTGCTCGCAACCTGTGACCTTCCCATTCACGGGAGGACGACACTCCAACCCATGAGCCGCTGGCCAGGGCTGGCACCATCTTTCAGTCTGTTCGGCACAGACCCACTGAGATGGAAGGATGAACATGCCGTGTCCCCACTTCCTCTAGGCCCTGTCCCCGCACCCCCCCAAAGAAGGTCAGCACTATTAGTAAAGCCTTTCTTGGTCAGAACTAAATCCGGACTCAGCGGGTGTCAGTTACCAGTCCCTGGCATGTTCTGAGGGAAGCAGCAGAGGACAGTGAGGCCACTGGGCAGTCTCCTGGCTCCGGTGCCAGGTGACTGAACTGTAGAAGCATGCCTACTCCTTGGAAGGAGGCTGAAAGAGCAACCTGGCCATACGTCCACCGTGCCTGTCCGCCAGTGGGGGGCCACGGGTTCCCAGAACCCACATGGCAATGAGATGAACTCACTCCGGGGTGTGTGGCATTGGCTGTGTCAGCAAATATGACACACGCAAGCTCTTATGCTCCATCTGAGGGCGGTGGTATGTCCCATCCTGAAGGACGCAGCTTTGTGTTTCCTTACTCGAGAT